AACAGTTACTTCAGTAGAAGCTATATCAACATAGAAATGCTAATAATTTAATGTAATCACAATATTTCATTTGAAAAAATACATACATATATATTGTTGAAAGAAATTAAGAAAACAAAATAGTGATGAAATTACATAGTTGTGCTCTTTTTATGAATAATAATACTTGATTTATACAGTTTCAAAACAAAATAAGTTCATCACATAATCATGTTTATCCATTAATAAATTTTAATTCATCAAATAAACAACTTAATCTTTCAAATGAATGATTTTAAAATGCTTTTAATTAACTCCTAATTATTAAATTAATTTAGAATAATCTGGAAGAAAAGATTTGTTTGCTTCATAGTGAGACTCAAACATGCAACTTGTGGGGACCAGAGCCGTCAAAAGTTAGTTTATGTTAGATTAGGTAGGGTCCTGCCACCAGCTGTGTTTTGTTGGACACACCGACGATTCAGTCAAAACCCGATAGTTAAGGCGCGAGGGTAAGAGTCACTCTGAAGTCCAGGAATGAGCCTCTCAGGAGGATGAATGCAAAGTCAAATACAAATAACATGAGTTTACTATCAAAAATTAAGTTCTGGATAACATTCTTAAGATCCGATTCAAGAAATCTGCCTATTTCTATCTATAAAACGAGGGGGCTGCCTAACAGGGGGATATATGAACTACAACATACCAGGAAAAAGAGAGCCGTCTTCTCTTGTAAGTCCAGTCAGTCTCCTGATCTAGTTCTTTCTTCCCTTTTGCTGGTCCTTCACTGATGTCTGCCGGTAAATGGCGTTCATTTCTAGACGAAATTTCCTTACGATTATGGCAGGATGGGTCCACTCAAGTCTACTGTTGATGTCCGCCATTGATGCCTTCCTTGTATGGGATGGTTCGTTGAGAGTCTGGAGAGGCCGGTATTTTCTACCATTGTCTGCCAAGGAGCTCTGTCTGTGTCTGGACTTGTGCCTCTTTTATACGCTTTTCAGCACAGGAGAGTTATGATATGGCTTACTATCGTATTGGTTTGACTTTTGAGCCAAGTCATTACAGAAGCAAAACTGTTTTCACTGACAAATCCCATCATTATTCATTGATTGTTTTGGTTACTGTTGTGCCTTGAAACCATGTTCGATCTCCGCTATGATCAGCGGGGGGCATGGAGTGGTATTTTTCCACTTTCTTTAAGTTTTATTCTCTTACAAATTTATTTAATTATTTAATTGTCCTCTCATCCTTTTCCTTGCATGTTGTAGATTTATTGCTGTTAATTAATATTCTAAATTGTTTCTCTGAATCATTAGGGAAGTCCCTAGAATCAGAAAAATAGGCAAATTTCTCTTACACTTTGCTTCATGTATAAACAATCTCAGTATCTCAAGATGTGGGTTCAAAAGAAAAAGGATATAAAATAAATACAATGTTTAAATACAATAAAATCTCTAACTAATTAAAGTGACAACAAAGTGGCTAAACTAAGATTATTACAGATAATGTAAATACGTAAATAACANTTGATGTTATGATATAAAATTTTTAAACTGATACCTTATATTTCATAAGTGTCATTTTAACGTAAAAGGTAAGTGAATACAATTCATACATTACCACCACAACTTAATTTATTCTTCACAGAATAATAATTAAATTTTACATTATTAGAATGCCTGAAACTTTTCTCATCATTTTATATTTTAACTGAATATATCATAATATTTCAAATTTATTTTATATTACATTGAAATATATTTCTTAACACATATATATTTAGTTAGTATTGAAGTTGCATTTAGATCATTTAAAATTCAAGAATTTAAGCAATGTTAGCAAGTAAACAAATCTAAAACAGTCAAATGATTTGAAAGTCTTAAAAGTATTATTAGATATTATTATTGGATATAACATTAACTGATAAGAAAAATACAAACTATGTTATGCTAATTCTAAATAACATCATATGTATTGATATTTTATTGAAAATATTTTTAATTCCTCTCAGAAATTTGATATTTTTTTAAGTTAGAAATATTTTAATTAAGTAAAAACAAACACCTTACTAAATTCCAGCACTAATTTAATAAACAAAAAGGTTTTTTGATCCAGCTTGATGGATTCACATCAGTTATTAACTTCCAACATTAGTTGCTTAACAGATTTCATTTTGTATTTGTGCAATTAACATTGGCATATTCAATATTTAAACTTTTCTGTGTAATATCAGGTCAGTCCATAAGTGCGTATTTTATGACCTTGAGAAAAATCTTGTTTTGCTGTTAAAAATGCCAGTCTAATGTGATACTTTTTACACTGAAGTGTTAAATTGGATCTCATTCATATAATACTGTTCAGAATTGGGAACATTTCAGTTGTTTATTTTCGTTAAAATGGAAGTAACAGATGAATATAAGAGACATGTTTTATACTTTTTATTTTTAAGTGATGAGAATGCTACAAATGCAGCCAAAAAATTAAATACTGTTCATAATCAAACTGTAATTAGTGTAAGGACTGCGCAGAAGTGGTTTGAAAGATTTAGAAATAATGATTTTAGTGTGGAGGATAAGGCTCGTACTGGAAGACCCGTTGACTTTGATGATGATGCTCTCTCTGCACTAGTTGAAGCAGAACCATCTTTAACAGTTGATGAAATTGCGGAACGTTTAAATTCATCCCATGGAACTGTTCATAGACATCTACAACAAATCGGAAAAGTTTCAAAGCTAGGAAAATGGATACCACATGAACTGTCAATAGCTAACTGACAACAACGTCAACTGCTCAACTCAAAAGCTTCAACTGGGAAATTTTACCTCATCCACCATATTTGCCAGATATTGCTCCCAGTGATTATCATCTTTTTCGGAGTTTGCAGAATTTTTTAAAAGGAAAAACTTTTGAGGATGAGAACAATGTAAAAAAGGCTATTTCTGAATATTTTGATTCAAAACCGAAATCATTTTACAAAGATGAGATTAAAAAGCTACCATCAAGATGGCAAGAAATTGTACAAAATAATGGTGAATACATTATAGATTGAAATAAGATTTAATTAAAATATTTTGTTGCTTTTTTTGTAGATAAAAATGCGCACGAACTTATGGACTGACCTGATACATTCTGTTCTTTTATTCTGTTTGAACAGCTGATGCAGATCTTGATGAATCTGCATCAAGTTGAATCAAAAATGTCTGTGTTTCATTAAATTAGTGCTGAAATTTCATAAGGTGTTTGTTTTGTACTTATTTATTTGATTAAGCTGAAAATAAAAAATTTGCATAAATTTATCAACCTTATGAGATTTTCTTTAAGTTTTAAATATTAAGATAATTATGATAAATGTTCTCAGGTTTAATATTTCAAATTGTCAATACAATAAATAAATATATATAAACCAAAAATGGAACAAAGATTTCTATAGAGAAAACACACTAGATATAGTCATTTTGCTAAAATATCAAGGTGATTTCTCTATATAATAAATAAATATTTGTTGTAATAATCAAACTGAAGATAACTTTCAAACTTTAAAACACTGCTGATAACATTGTAAACTATAACTTAAACACAATGACTACAGTTTATAAATGAATTTATTGCTAGGTTTCTATTTTAGTTATACTGGAAGTCAGCCAGTTAGTAGCTTAGTTCAATTAAACATTACAAAAGAAAGTTTATAACACTAAAATAAAAAATAATATAAACTGAATATTATTTTAAAGTTATACAATATATACTATATTATATATATTGTATAACTTAAAAATTTTAATTTCATTTTTACATAATAATTCTTTCATTCCAAAGATATTTTATTTAAAAAATCCAAACATATTTAAAATTTATTTCATCAGTATAATACAAATTATTATTATTATTTTTACATAAAGTATTCCATTTTGAATCTAAACAAATCTAATCTAGAGAAAATATTTTATATTCTATCATTAAATTGTTTTATATATTAACTGAATGACTCAGTTGTTCAATTTCTGAAAATAATTTGCTAATGTAGTTTATTTTAGAAAATAACATCCTGTGAAATTTAAAAGTTTAGAAAAAATGGCATTCTTTTCTATTTTCACAAAATTTTCTATATCCACAAATGAAAGTTTTCATTCATTCATTAAAATGTGAAGATTGATATATTAACATCTTATGTTCATATATCACAGAGAATATTTTTGAAAATTTTATTTATTGAATAACATTTTCATATAAATTTATAAAATCTTTTCATTTAGTCAGTAGAAATTGAAAATAAATTTATTTTGAAAGTTTTTTAACTTGGCATCATCACAATATAGAATTCAAAGTTAAACTGACAGTTAAAATTACATTTAAATACTTGCTTGAATTTAATTATAATATACTAATGAACTATAAAATATATTTTCAATATGTAATGTTAATCAATTATTATGTTTTTGAATGATAATCTTGATTAATTAATTAATATTTTAAGCTGTGAAATTCATTAGAAAAATTATTGTATATCAGTTTTTTCTGATATCTAACTAAAATAATTTATCTGTTAGCATGGTTTTTTAATATTACTGACATTCTTCATAATCAGTTGTCTGAAACTGTACAGTTTGGCTTCAAATTATATATTTTTTATCAACTTATAGAATTATAAATGTACATAAACAAACTTAAATTTTTGAAAGAAAATTTATACTTTTTATATTCAATCATTTTATCTCGGCAATTCAATTTAATTTATATGTTATTAGAAATGAGTATATATGACATATAAAAACAAAAATATTAGCTTTAATATTTTTATATGATATATACACTTTATACTATTTTTTTTCTTTAAATTAAAGTTTATATAACTTTAATTTAAAGAACTTATATATAGAAAAACTTTCTATATATAAATTTTTTATAATTTTTTTTAATATAAATTTTCTGAAAAACATATATTTTTTGATAATATATCAGATAAATGGCATATAAATTTGATTTATGTTAGAAAATTACTTGTTTGAATTTATTTATAGTTTTAATTAAAAATGAAAGACGTGGTGAAGGTCTTGGAAAGTTTTTAATGCAGAAAACAGAGGATCATGCGAAAAGGTATGAAAATATTTATGTATAACTTACATTTAACAATAATTATATAAATTAAATTTTCAATTCATCAATTTAATATTTTTCAAATATTCACAAAATACACAACAAAAAACCTAAAAAAACAAAAAGTCCTTTCAATAACATTTTAATGAAATAATGAACATTTTCACCTCCTCCTGAGGTCTGCCTCAGGTTTAAAGATAAAAGTTTTGTAATGGAAGAGGAGGAGGTTGAAAACATTTGTATTTTCTTAAAACATTATTATTGGAAGGACTTAAGTTTTTTGTTGTGTATTTTGTGTTACAGAACAGTCCAGTTTGCAAATGATGATAAATTTTTTGTATTTTTCAAATATTTATTTTAATGTTTTGTAACATTCAATTTAGAAATTCTTGCTTATACTTATAAAAATGAAATAGATAAATAGATATTTTTTGAAAACTAAGTTCATTTTATAAATTACAGTAGAGTGTCATTTATCTGAAAGCCAATCAATCGAAACATCGGTTAACCGAAAGCATTCCAGTCGGACTATGTCATGCTGAATCAAATGTTTTTGATACTAGATTAACTTCCAAAATATAAATTTTTTGTTTTTATATTTTTCAATATATTTATTTTGTTTGTACAAAATAAAGAAATAATTTTTAATGATACAATAGCCACAATTATTATTTTAAAAATTTACATTAGGCTTAACATTGACAAAAATTCAACTCAAAGTGACACACAACAGAGAGAATTTCAACATGAGATAGGTTAATACATTTTTTCGTACATAATCAGTTATCCGAAAAATAAGTTATCCTAACAACCCCAGTCCCCAACTGATTCAGATAAACAATGCTCTACTGTAATTATTTCTATAGGCTCTTCTTAAGATGTGGGGAGATTACAACTTCTTTTTCTTCACTTCTTTTGTTAAAAGTCACAATCTTCCTACATACAAAGCAGATCCTATGGAAATAATGACAATAAGTCCTTTTAGGCAGAAATAGAATGTTAATTATTTAATAGTTTGGATGATGAAATTTAACAAATGAACTGAAATTAAACGATATTAATAAAATTGTATTTTTGATTTATAAACTATTAAGGTATTGACAGTAAAGTCTTTCTTTCATGCATGCCATGGCTGTTTGTTTATTTATTGAATAGTCAGTGACAAAAAGATGTCAGTTTACATATACAGGGTGTTCATTTGGAACCTTCCTAGTTTTGTGAATTAATTTTGGGAAATACTATAGGTATTTCATGGGTATAATACTATAGACAATGATAACAGAAAGTGCATCTGAAAAAGTTTACAATGTTAAGTACAAATATATCAATACATTTCCACATGTTCTCCTGACAGGGCACATATGATATGCAGTCTGTACTTTATTTTAGTCAATGTCTGAGCCAACATGTTAGGAGTAACACTGTTAATGGAATCCATGATTCTTATATACAAGGGTAAAAGTTTTTACTGACTAGTTAGTGAAAACTTTTCATTTAAAAAATTTAGGAATGCAGGCATCTCACTATTCAGAATCTCCAATTATTATAAAATAATTTTCTAGTAAGAGAAATAACACAAATTTATAATCCTAATAGACCTAAGTGAAAATCTATTATGTACAGTGTATCTAATGGAAAAAATAAAAACAGTTACTTCAGTAGAAGCTATATCAACATAGAAATGCTAATAATTTAATGTAATCACAATATTTCATTTGAAAAAATACATACATATATATTGTTGAAAGAAATTAAGAAAACAAAATAGTGATGAAATTACATAGTTGTGCTCTTTTTATGAATAATAATACTTGATTTATACAGTTTCAAAACAAAATAAGTTCATCACATAATCATGTTTATCCATTAATAAATTTTAATTCATCAAATAAACAACTTAATCTTTCAAATGAATGATTTTAAAATGCTTTTAATTAACTCCTAATTATTAAATTAATTTAGAATAATCTGGAAGAAAAGATTTGTTTGCTTCATAGTGAGACTCAAACATGCAACTTGTGGGGACCAGATCCGTCAAAAGTTAGTTTATGTTAGATTAGGTAGGGTCCTGCCACCAGCTGTGTTTTGTTGGACACACCGACGATTCAGTCAAAACCCGATAGTTAAGGCGCGAGGGTAAGAGTCACTCTGAAGTCCAGGAATGAGCCTCTCAGGAGGATGAATGCAAAGTCAAATACAAATAACATGAGTTTACTATCAAAAATTAAGTTCTGGATAACATTCTTAAGATCCGATTCAAGAAATCTGCCTATTTCTATCTATAAAACGAGGGGGCTGCCTAACAGGGGGATATATGAACTACAACATACCAGGAAAAAGAGAGCCGTCTTCTCTTGTAAGTCCAGTCAGTCTCCTGATCTAGTTCTTTCTTCCCTTTTGCTGGTCCTTCACTGATGTCTGCCGGTAAATGGCGTTCATTTCTAGACGAAATTTCCTTACGATTATGGCAGGATGGGTCCACTCAAGTCTACTGTTGATGTCCGCCATTGATGCCTTCCTTGTATGGGATGGTTCGTTGAGAGTCTGGAGAGGCCGGTATTTTCTACCATTGTCTGCCAAGGAGCTCTGTCTGTGTCTGGACTTGTGCCTCTTTTATACGCTTTTCAGCACAGGAGAGTTATGATATGGCTTACTATCGTATTGGTTTGACTTTTGAGCCAAGTCATTACAGAAGCAAAACTGTTTTCACTGACAAATCCCATCATTATTCATTGATTGTTTTGGTTACTGTTGTGCCTTGAAACCATGTTCGATCTCCGCTATGATCAGCGGGGGGCATGGAGTGGTATTTTTCCACTTTCTTTAAGTTTTATTCTCTTACAAATTTATTTAATTATTTAATTGTCCTCTCATCCTTTTCCTTGCATGTTGTAGATTTATTGCTGTTAATTAATATTCTAAATTGTTTCTCTGAATCATTAGGGAAGTCCCTAGAATCAGAAAAATAGGCAAATTTCTCTTACACTTTGCTTCATGTATAAACAATCTCAGTATCTCAAGATGTGGGTTCAAAAGAAAAAGGATATAAAATAAATACAATGTTTAAATACAATAAAATCTCTAACTAATTAAAGTGACAACAAAGTGGCTAAACTAAGATTATTACAGATAATGTAAATACGTAAATAACAAATTCACAAATACATACACACACACATATAATATATATATATATATTATATATATAGTAACAACAAATTTTTGGGGGGGAGAATGGTGGTCTTCACAAACTCATTACCATGCAGATGCATACCCAATTACATTATCCAGATATCCATCTAATTTTAGCATTCACAATTAATTGGTATGGAAGTAAAGTGGTATGACTTGTAAAAATCTGTAATTGGCTTCTTTCCCTGCTTTGTGTTTTTAATCTTATGTTTAATTTTGGGACTCTATTATGGCTTGGTTTTAATATAAATTCTTTTGATTTTATATCAAATTCTCCATCTTTCTGAGGGTCCAGAATACCAATCATATACTTTGTTATGTAAAGCATTAGCATCGATATATTCAAACATCAATAAGCAATTTCACATTTACCATTCTCACAAAACAATGAAACAACAAACTAATAAATGAAGCAGTCTATGGAGTAGGATATGAATAAAGTAATATGTTGTTGTACATTATTGCAAATTTATTCCAGAAATGTGAAAAAAAATTTTTTCCTCATGGAACACTTGAGGCCAGTTTGTGGAACACTGGTTCAAAATCACCCACTGATCTAATACATTTAATTTGTATAATTTATTGATTTTTTTTTTTTGTTTTTGTTTTGTAACTTATTACAGTAGAGCATCGTTTATCCGAAGGTCGGTTATCCGAAGGAATTCCAGTCGACAAATTTAAATTTTCGCCAGTGCTGTGGCGCTGTAATCTTTGGCTATGTCTTGGGCTACTCAAATATTTTACTTTTTGATACTAAATTAACTTCTGAAGTATAACTTTTTATTGTTTTTATATTTTTCAATATATTTATTTTGTTTGTACAAAATAAAAAAATAATTTTTAATGATACAATAGTCTTCGTTAGGCTTAATATCGACAAAAATTCAACGCAAAGCAACACGCAACGGAGAAAAATTTCAACACGGGATAAATTAATATATTTTTTCATACATAATTGGTTATCCAAAAAATAAGTTATCCGAACAACACCAGTCACCAATTGATTCGAATAAACGACGCTCTACTGTATTTACTTTCAATCTATTGATAATTTTCTAAAAAGATTACTTCTCACTAAATATATACTAATAAATATATTTGTTAATTTTTATATATTTGAAGTAAAGATTTTTTTCAGATTAGGATACCAAACATTGTATCTTACAACAGGAGATAAACAAGAATTTTATGAACATTTGGGATACAGTCATTTTATATTTGATAATTTAACTAGTCAAACTCATGTAAGTCTTAAAATTTGTTTCATACTTATGAAAATTTTTTAAAATATAGTATAGTAAAATAAAAATGTTTAAATAATTTTAAGGATAATAAAAGTGTTTCTTTGATTAATTCATCAATAAAACAAATGAGTCTTAAAGAGAACTATAAACAAGAGAGGAAAAATAATGAGATAATTTCAAATAATTTGGATTCAAAACTTCAAGAATTGTCTTCACAATCTTTGCCATCATCACTGCCACTTCCATTGCCGCCGCCGCCGTCGCCACCACTACCAACTCAGCCAAAGTCTCAGTCAAAAAGCATATTTAATCGTGAAAAAACATATTGGATGAAAAAATCTTTATGATGGTTTTTATATTTATATTTTAAGAAAATTTCATATTTGTATTATTTAATATTTATGAAACTAATTTGTAAATATTTTATTATATTATAATTAAAATTATACTATTTATTAAACTCTACAAATGTTTGATGTTTAAAAATATATATGACAAAATAAATTACTATTTAACTTAGCATTTTGTGATCAAAAACCAATAGTGTTTTATACACGTTGTTGTTGTCAGCAAAAACTATTTTATAATCAAATTCACAACATTACGGCTATATATAGATTACAGTACAGTCAAACCATTGTTTTCAAACCTAATTCATTCCTAAATGTTGTTCTAAATCTGAAGCAAATTTTCCCATAAGAAACAATATAAAATAACATTCTTACTCCACACCTGCAGGGATACCAATTTTCCATCTCCAACACGTTGGAATTAATAGATCAACTCAAGATGGTCACCTCTCCGTGTTATGCTACAGTATTGGATTTTAGATCCTTATACCNTTCCATCTCCAACACGTTGGAATTAATAGAACAACTCAAGATGGTCACCTCTCCGTGTTATGCTACAGTACTGGATTTTAGATCCTTATACCCGTCGATTGAACTTCCTCCATGCTTCTGCGCCCTAAGGGACTTTCTTTTTGAAAAATTAGGCTCTAATGAGCTACAACATCAGGCACTAGAATTGGCCCATCTAATTTGTTACAACTCGGTGTTTCAATTTAAAGGAAAGTTGTACACACAAACAAGAGGTGTTCCCATGGGTAGTTCGGTATCCGGGGATTTATGTGAACTAGTTATTAGACAATTGGAAAACAGGACATTGCCTAAATTCCTCCACGACATTATACTATACAAAAGATATGTCGACGACAATATAAAATGGATTAATCTATTCCTGACCTCCAAAATAAAGCTTTTTTTAAGCTGTATTTCATGCTAAAAGTGCAATGTACTGCTATATTATATATAATAAATTTTTGTTAGCACCTTTAAACACAAATTCTTGGATGCCATTTATATTACCGTATTTTGACGAGTATAAGTCACACTTTTTTACTACTTTTTGGGGTGCAAAATCACGATGAGTCTCTTATACTCGACAGGTAACCATTTTTACAGTGAAATTATCTACAGTAGTGGTCCACTCTAGGGACCAACCTGTGCAGTGGTCTGTTAAGCAGATGGTCCCTCAACCGAATTGCTAGAGTACCTAGATTATCAGAGTAGCGACACACGATTCATCGTCTTCATGTTCTGTCGACTGTCATCACATGACTTCTGAGTTTACATTAAGAAATGATTATTTCAGTTTAATAAAGCATTTTCTTCGTTTTTTTATTCAAGAATATGACAGCTGAATGAATTAAACCTGTATTAAACTGAAATAATCATCATGGATGGTACAGAAGATGAGGCAATCTATGAAGATTCTGATGATGATGATTCAGTCAATACTTCGGGAATTAAAGAAGAAAAGGATGATGAATCAGTCATTAATTAATTAATGACGTCATAGATATGTTTCCTAATGGGTGTAATTTACCGGTAGATAGCAATGATTCAGTTGAAGAATTTCTTGGCCACTATGATTAATAACATGCTTCTTTAGACAATCCCATTAAAAATGCTTTTTTCTAAATTTTTTGTCTCAAAATAGGGGTGCGTCTTATATTTGACAGTGGCTTATATTCGTCAAAATATGGTACATGAATGTCAGTTAATGTGATTTTTATTAATTTAATTTAAATTCAACTATGGTACATACCAAAACACAAATAGTGTCTTTCCTACATGCACACTGCTATTTAAATTAGCTTTCAGTGTCATCAATGATTTGTGTTGTGGTGTCTAATGATGTGGGTGATTTTGGTGCCACTAACTTCCAAATCAGTTGTCCCGTCATTGATTGGTTGGGCTGTCGACTTTCTTTAACATAGAAAGTATAGGGAGTTGACTGTCTAGGTCTCTTTAATCTGTGGTTAGCTCTTGCCAAATAGCTTGTTCGGCAACTGAGGCAAATATGAGTCCAAAATTCTGTTTGTGAACTAATTTGTTTGAAAAGTGAGTAATTTGAAAATCAAGGTTTGGCTGTACAAATAAAAAGTTCAGAATGAGTCTCATTAAGTAATAAATGTAATACATATTGCAATAACTATATATTATATGCAAATTTTAAATAAAAAGGATGTTCCTGTTATAAAAATTATGCAAATATATTATGTATTCACTTTTCACAAATATTAATGTTCAGTTATTAATTTGTATTAGATTACTGTATATTGAAAAATGTAACAGATGACAATGCAGTTTTACTATGATATTATAATTATAAATCTTGCTTGTATTTAATACTCTGTATAGATGAACACCATTAAATCAAAATACATAGGCTGTTTTTTTTTCAACCTCCAATAGTCCGTAAAACAAAGACAAGTGTAAATAACAAAATTAATTTATTACCAAAATATAGGTATAAACATGATTACTTTTCAACATAATCTCCATGAAGATTAAGGCATTTGTCTATCTGTGGATGAGCTTTGAAATCCCCTCTTCATAGAAAGTTGCCGCCAGTGATTGAGGTGGGCCTTAACATTGTTTTGAAGATTATTAGTCTCGAACCTCTGCCCTCCTAGCCACGTTTTTTAGTTCAGGAAAGTGGTGGAAGTGTGAAAGGTGACAGTCTTCACACATTAAAGGTGTGAAGACTGTCACCTTCTTTCCTGAACTGAAAACTTGCTAGCAGGGCAAGACTAATGACGATCTTCAAAACAATGTTAAGGCCCACCTCAATCACTGGCGGCAACTTTCTATAAAGAGGGGATTTCAAAGCTCGTCCACAGATAGACAAATGCCTCAATCTTCATGGTGATTATGTCAAAAAGTAACCATGTTTGTACCTATCTTTTGATAATAAATTAATTTTGTTATTTACACTTGTCTTTGTTTTATGGATCATCAGAGGTTGGAAAAAACTGCCCTCGTACATACTTTGAAAAATAACTGATAATTGATAACATTTTGTATATTTTAAAATAACTTTTAGTTACAAAATAATAGAGGAGAAGGTGGTATTATGGAACCACCCCATTTCGAACTGATAATAAAGGCGAACTGTAGCGGAATGTGGCTGAAATGAACTAGGAAGACATCCATAGCAAGGGGAAAACCCGTTTTACTTCAGTTAAACAGTTGTCCGCATTTAATCAGCAAATTTGTTTTTTTCAAAATTCACAAGTTTTGAATGCTAAGTGAATTTAATTATTTTTAAAATATAAATCGTGTAGTTGTAGGTTCACTGGTGCATGTATTCCATTCCAGAGACTTAGGGGTACATATTAATCTGTGTGATGTTCACGTTTTTTAAATTTTGGTCTTGACAGACATAAGTTAATTTGAGATGGCGATGCGTGAAATACGGACCCCATTGGTGCTTTTACAGTAATATGGAACTCAACTCCTTCGAACTTTCTATTTGCGAGCAGACATTCCTCCAGAGCAATTTGTGAAAAAGACACTAGGTAGAAAGTCAATTCTTCCCGAAAATATCGAAAAAGAGCTGCTGGAATATATATTGTTGATGGAGGTCATATTTTTCTATTATAAAAGCATTTTTACGATAAAATACATTGGAGTAAATAATTTGGTAATTATTTAACTTTTTTTGTCCTTTCCTATTTGTTTTTGGCTACATTAAAGCATTTTTTTGAAAATATACAGTAAGGTTCCATATTACCACCCGGTTTTCTCTAAGACTACTTTCTGACTTTTTGTACAAAAGCCTTCAAAAACCATACTTATAATTACACTAGCGAAAAATCCAATTAGGAACATTTAGATTATTAGTTACCAGTACTTTTCGCACAAAAAATGTGAATGTTGATACCTTGTTTACAATTCACTAAAATGTAATTGGGGTTCCATAATACCACCTTCTCCTCTACTCTGACAGAATAATAACTAAATAAATATACATGTTGGTTCATTTTTAATCAGTGCACTGGAATAACTTGAAAAATACACATCCTACAAAAATCATAGGCTAACATTTTTGGTTCAATCTTGTGGCCCCTTTGAAGTCTACCAGTTTCATCACAGCTGATGCCATAATTGGTGAAAATGGGTCAACTTCATTTTCTTAAATGGGGAATCTCCATAAAAAACAACTAATTACCGGTTAATATTAATAATAAAAGTTCTATGTCACTAAAAATAAACCAGCAAAAAATAAAAGAACCATTCACTTTGGAAATCAAACGTTTTTGTCCATTTAGAATTTAGAATACAAGCCTGAAGATGTCCTTTGGAAAGCAATGTTTTTGTCTATTTTTAAAAGTGAGGAATTCCTTTTGCTGGCTTACTAACACAGTGGAAATTTTATTGTGAATTGCCATTTTTTTTTTTATGATTCTACATAAAAAGCAAGTTTTATATAAAACATTTTTTGTTTTGTTTTGAAAGATGCACTTATTAGAATTTGAGTCCTTTTAAGCAACTGCTACACAATCTGTGGATATTTGTGAAGTTCATTGAAAAAAAGGAAGAAAAAAAATTAAAATATTCATTAGGAAACTTATTTAATGGAATCATTCTTCTTTTTTACAAGTAATGAACTGATAACTCATACAAAACTCATGCACAAGATATTGTGCATGAGTTTTGTATATTGTGAATTTACTCAATGTTTTCTTTTTTGCCATAAGAGAAAAACTGACAGGCACTCAAAACTGAGAAAGCATTACTATGTATGACTCATTTTTTTGTTTTGCACTAAACACAGGGATTCACATCAGCCTTTGTTTGAGTTCTCATTTATTCCTGTGTGATAGTAATGTTTCTTTGTTTCATTTATGCTAATTACTTTTCAATCATAGTTTCAAAAGTCAAAAGTAGTGATTCTGATAGCTTGGATAAGCAAAAGAAAAGCCATAAAAGTGCCTATTTTAAAGGAAAAAAAATTGCAATTTTAGATTCAATGAGAAAGGAAAAAGTTTGCTTCCAAAATATTTTAAATTGTTTTGATAATTTAGTGTCATGCTATTGATTGTTCATATAGTGTTTATTTGCCTTATTTGTATAGAAAATGTGTGATAAGTATGTTAGTATAGGAAATACTTAATAATTAATGGAGTTTGCTATTTTATATGAATTTCCACTTACATGTGGAGTCATGGAACAATTTGGCCATGTATAACAGGGCCCTACTGCATAATACAATTGATTAAAAAATTTGTACTATATTTAATTTGGTATTAAATGTATAAAAATGAATGTATTCAAAAATTTTTATTTTTTTTAAATACAGTAAATTGTATATTAATTATAGTTTTAATAAAATGTAAGTGCAAAAATTATAAATTATAGCTCTTGAATTAGTGTGATTTTAAAATGTGATTTTGTTATTGTATACAGAAAAATGTTTTTAATGGTTGCATTTATTTGTTGTATTCTTTAATGTGTTTATTATTTGTGGTTGTCAATTTTAT